CCTCTCTATGTTTTTTTAAATTATCTCTTATATGCCTCAAGCAATATCGGTGATGATGCAGTGCTCCAAACCCCTCGTGCAAGGCCCATGGAATTCCTTTCATCCGGTCAGTAATAAAAGTAATCGTTCTATAACTTTGAATAGTAGGGATGAATCTGTAAACACATTGAAAAAACCACTTCCAACTTGATGTTTCCTCCACCTCAACAATTGTGAGAGCCAATGAAAATAGCCCACCATTTGCCTCTACACCGTTCACAACCAAGAGCACTCCTTTGTACTTGCCATATAAATGTATGACATCAATGCTCAAGAGTGGATGACAAAATGAGAACCCTTTGATAGCGGGTGCAAATGCCCAAAATACTTGCATGAACCTCTCCACTCTCGGTGTGATCTCTTTAGACAATATTTCATATTTGACACCTAGATTTTCCTCTTAATTGCTTCAAGATATTGCGGAAGTAATTCGTAAGATTTTTCCCAATCTCCAAAGATTTTAGTCAACACCTTCCTCCGTGCATCATATGCTTTATATTTATATATAGTTATTTTTCTCATATCATATACCCTTGTAATTATTTGACTTGGAGTAAAATCAAGTTCTCGCCATACTTCGGGCATAATTAGCTTCAAGATATAAGAGGAAGTTGTTGCCTTATAGTCGACATTGACAGTCGGATTACAACATTGTTAGAGTCCACAATAATTAGAGATCATAAATTGCCCATTAGATTTTTTTCCTGACAGCTGCATTAAGTTTCCATGGACACTTTGAATTTCTTTCGTCTTAAGCACTTGCATACTCTCTTGAGCTTTCTCGTTGAAGTAGCACATTACATGATAATTTGTTGTATCAGTTTTCATCAGCTTGAATTTGACCCAATTCTTGATTAATCATTCACGTATAGCGAAAACTAACATTTCCTAATTCTCGAATAGATCCCCTTGTTTGAAAGTGAAGTCCTCGGGTCATTCGAAATCAGAACCAAGCTCAATGAACTCAGCTTGTGAGGCATTTATCCACTCCTCATTTTGAAACTCTTCTGGTAACGGTTCTTCAGACTTCACATAATCGTTGTTTACACAAAATTCATCCATCCAACGGGTGTCCTCATTTATTCCTTCAATTGCACACTGCATGCTATCAAGACGTTCTTCCTCTTCAGCATCTTTATAATCACCATCTACATATGCATCCTTATCCTCTTCTACAATAGAATCAACCGGTAAATTAACCGTAACATGATCCAAAGCGTTGTGGAACATATCACTTGATGTTGCACAATAGGAAGGTTGAGTCCATGTCATTGCACTTGAGATATTTTCTAAATGCATGACACTTGAAGATGAAATGAATTCACTCGAGTTATTTTCTAAGTCAAACATGCGGGAGAACTCTTCAGGAGCATTTGAAACTTGGGTAACACCAGATATTGAAATATTTTCAATGAACAACTCGATTGAGATTTGGTTTTCCAAGTATCATGTCACTTAGTTCTTTGATTATTGGTGATCTCTACAGCAATTGTTCTTTTTCATTTATCGAACAATTATAGAAGACCCTAGTGGCATACTCTGCATGATTAATTCTAATAATTCTGTATATTTGCTCCATCATTCCATCAAAGTTACAAATTCTAGATAATATGAACATTTTTCTAGATCCTCCCTCATATATAGGCATATTATTCATTCCAACACTCAGTTTCCCATTGAATAAGCAAATATCGGTATTCTATTCGACATTCAAACTTAAATATTAACTTTCATCATATACAAATTATTTATATTATTCAAAAATTAAATTTTATTTATCATATTTCTAGCTACTAGTTAAACTGTAGTCATATATATATATATATATATATATCAAAATTAATCTATCAAATTTTAACCAAATCCTATTGTTTTATCATAATTAATAAAAATATTCTAAATGTATAGTTATTTCCAAACTACAATTTTAACTAAATAATAGAGAGAAAATTATAAAAAATAAGAAAATTATACATTGATGAAGTTCTAAAATTCGTCGACATCGGAGAGGCTAGATGGCGTCGGAGATTAACATGCCAGAGTGAACTTTAGGGAAGATCTCAATTTGGGTTTGGAGAGAATGGCTTTGGAGAGAATAAGAGAGAGAAAATTGAGGGAGAAAGAGGTGATTTGGGAGAGAATCAATGGAATGAGGGAGAGAGATTGAGAGAGAGATTGGGAGAGGGTTTATCACTTAGGGTTTGGAGAGGGAGTGAAATAGGGAGAGGGATGATGAGGTTGTGCCCTAATTTTTTGGTACAATTGGGGCTTAAATAGGTCCGACAAATCCAGTAGACTACTAGTCCCATGAATTTGTTGGGCACCAGACACGAAGTCTCTGTCTAACACACAAGACTACTAAAATTTCCTGGGCACCAGACATGAAGTCTCTGTCTAACGTACAGGACTACTAGCCCTATGCATTTTCTCAAAACTATTCAGAAAACTCACGGGACTAGTAGTCCCGTGGGTTTTCTGAATCTTGTTTAGTGACCGATTAGCGGTCACTAAACACACTAGACTAGTAGTCCCGTGTGTTTCAAAAGTCATATTCAGCGAAACCGACCTCTTTTTGGCCGGCTTTGATGAGATGACCAAAAAGAGGTTTGGTTTTGCTAAATATTTAGCAAAATGATCGCTTTTGCTAAATATTTAGCAAAAGTGACCTATTTTTAAAAAACCTCCGATAGTATATAACAACGCTTTGAAAACTTGTGCAAGTCAATAATGTTTATTATTATTATTATTATTATTATTATTACTTTTCGGCAAACATGCCGAAAGAGTATCGTAGTAAAATATTTTTTGTTCTCAAAAGTCTTAAAGCAAGAAAGGCAATGAAGCATCAAGAGTATTTGAATGAAATTAAATAGCTAGTCTACATAGTCAAATACAATTTTGACTAAGCACTACAATTTAGCACATCAAAATTAATACCCCGGCTTATTGTGAAGTTGAAAGTGACTGATAACTAATTCACCCTAATGACAGTTCCATCGTGCTTAATTTGATTATGTCCTTGTCATCTCCAAGCCAGCTGAAAGTGATGGGGGTATTAGTTATTATATTTTCAATTTTCTTTGCTTAATCACCAAGCTCTTCTTTTAGTAATACAAATACTTATATTGACACTTTAGAGTATATATTCAATTGCATACGAATCGTCAATGTTAATAAACCTCGTTAGCAATAGATTAAGATTAGATAAAAACTAAAAGAGGACTACAAGGACTTATATAGGTTTTTACCAGTTCGGGTTAATCAAAAGTTAATCGAAAGTGATACGTGAGGTCCTACGCAAATAATGCAATTTGGATAAAAGTAGCACAAGTTGGTTCTTTGTATTATTATTTTCTTGAGTTTGATTGTTGTCCAAAAGAGCACCATAAGTAACATCTTTCTCAACACTTTAATTTTTGCTCCCTCAAATTTTTATGTTCAAAGTTAGCTAAAATTATGATCTAGGTCACACCAAGTAAAAAAGGCAACTTTGACCCAAAAAATGTGAAACAAACTTTGTGGTTATTCGTTTAATTATGTTCCTCATGCCCAAGGATTTTCGAACATGTAAAAAATCATATTTATGGAGTAGGAATTGCATTTTTTTTCTTCACTCAAAATCTTCTTTTAATGATTCTTTATTTCCCATATGAGGATTCCTGCTTTAATTTAGGGCCCATTACGACATTGGGTTGGCCTAATCGAAGGCCGAAGTAACAGGCGCAAGATCATGACGCATGGGAACTTAAATGGTACACTGTGATTTAATTATTATTATCTATTTAATTTTCATTAGAAAATTTGATGCATAAATAATCATAGATAAGCGTGGTCAATTTCCACAACAATATTGGCTATAGAAACACCATTGCCTTTATCTCTCTGTAAGCACTGTTCCTTTTGATATAAGCAAAGAGTGGGCAAGGAGAAACTTATATGCATATTAGCATAAGATTTTAAAATTGATGACTACAGTGGTATTGATTTAATCGATATTATATTAATTCAGAATTAATAGTGAGATGTATGTCATGTTCTACTTTCTTCTTAATTTTTCTATAAAGCAATCCTCTATGATTTTCCCCATCAGGAATCGACGATAAAAGGTCTAGAAATATATTACATAACACTAGCAGTCTAGCGGTGAAAATAAAATGTATAAATGTGATCAATTTCATTAATAATCAGACATTGACGATCAAGATTTTTCTTTTCGCTTTATTTTTTTCAGCTATTAAAACAATAATATCGGCAAAGGCGTGCAAAAATCATCATTATCAGGATTGCCAACACAGATTGAAGTGCTCTTGGGCAAATTGGCTGCATTGCTCCTTGCAAACTGACTCAACACAGCATTTGACTCCAAAGAATACATGGCATGCGTCAGCTCCCACCTTGGGCAGCAAAATCTCAAGCGCGCAATTATGATTTGTTTACCAATTACACAACAATTAATAAGATAGATGTTCGCATACATGTAAGTTTTTTCTCCCCATTTAAATCATCAAAAAAAAAAAATTTCATCGCCAACTTAGAAAAACAAACTTTTAGTGATCACCGTGATTAGAATTAATTTACTATGAGAATCACAAGAAAAATTGTTAGATGCAGTGAAAGATAGGCATAGCAATGAATAATCTCATAAGTTTGATGGTCAGAAATTTGTAGTCACAAAGATGCATGAATCTTGATTTCGCAAGCATTTCAATTTTTACCTCTTCATGCACTCCCTTACAATACTCATAATTGTGCCCGAATACATTTCCTTCTTATATCATACATATGCAGGACAATCATCGTCGAATAATTTCAGTATCCACGCCGCAATCCTCTCTAATGTTCATCATCCAACAAAAATGGATAGCTAAGACAGAATGATCAAACCAAAAACATTTCCGAAAGTACAAATGCATCAAACTTGATGATCATGCGCAGCATAAAATAAGTGAAACCATGAACACTTCAAGGTAAAGAGAACCAACCCTCAAACATTTTAACGGTTCAAAATAAAACATAACAGCATCAAATAAAGAATTTCAACAACTGGATAAGTTATAAGGCCAGGACTAAGTACACCAAATAAAGGGATAACGAGGCTAAGGTGTCATAGAAGTCGCAACAAAATTTGAATAAAACATAAAAACTGATCCAAGCGAAATTTTTTGAGATAAAAGCATCATTGTTGCTCAACGGTTGGCCTTGGCAACTCGTTCAATCTCGTCCTTCTTCTTGATAGCATAACTGTCATAAAACCACAAAACATCAATTGGAAGATAAAAGGTGGCATATTTGCATAAATTACTCAATACTAGTGTTTATATATATAATTTACAGGGTTAAAGGCAGAGAAACCCACTGTACTATGAGCGTGCCACTTAAATCCCAAAAACTATTTTTTCGCACTTAACAACATTTGAACATCATATTCCCTCATTTAGTTGAGATGACACGTGGGAACACGTGGGAATCAAATTGCCCCAAGGGGTTAACGAATAAAGTGCCCTCTACACTGAGGGCGAAAAAATAATAACACGTGTTTTGGGGGTGAAAATACTAATAGAATAGTAGAATATTTGTACCTGTTGGAAGAACCCTTGGCAGCATTAATGAGCTCATCTGCAAGACATTCAGCAATTGTCTTGATGTTTCTGAATGCGCTCTCTCTTGCTCCAGTGGTAAGAAGGTAAATAGCCTGGTTCACCCTCCTCAATGGGGAGATATCAACAGCTTGACGTCTCACCACACCAGCTGATCCAATTCTGGTAGCATCTTCTCTTGGTCCACTAAAAGAGTGAAGTAAAAATTAAATTTACACGAGGTTTTTTAATAGAATTTGGCAAAAACAAGATATTCCTGGTTTAAATGTTATCTTTTTATCTAATAGATACTGTAGGAACATATGGATATGAAGCTAATGATACAGACAGTAATGATACAGACAGATCAAGTTTTTACACCCTGCTAGCTTCTGTACAGTCAATGAAATTAGTAGTAATACGTTGCATTGTCTAGCAAAACCATACGAGTAAATTGATAAACCTAAACATTGACCATAATGGAAACAATGCAACTTGTGCATAAAAGAACATCAGCTTTTTGTGCTATTTACTTATGATGATAGTTAAAATGTTATTAAAAAAAGACATTAACTAGAATATTCCAGTCTATAAAGAATCCAAACATGATCTGTTCCATATATAAAATGCCAAAATAGCAAATACAGTAAGATAAAGATATCATTTACTATTTTTCTTAAACATAAACTAGCCTACAGCATCATGTAGAACCATTATCTTTATTAATTCAAATTTAGCACTAGGAGCATGTTTGATGAATCTAGGTACATATTAATCTATGTTGCATGGGTACAGGTACCAATAATATATATATATATATATATATATATATATTGGAATTAATAATTTATATGTGAACAAGGATGATAATTTAAAATTCCTATAACATTTGTATGTTTCTTTTATTATGTTGATTATAAATGTGAAAATCACTAGTTTTTAAACTAGACATCCAAAAGACCCTTCAAAATCATAATTCGGAACCTATGGTCAACGAGTTTCAAGAAGTGAATGTGAAGTGCAAGATATATGTCCAAAACAGTGGATGTGAAGTGTCGAATACATGTCCAAAAAATGTACGCCCAGTGTGTGAAATTAAAACATGTGTACATGCCCGAATAAATATATGCAAGAAGCGTCCAAGGAGTTCGGGTACGGATACGCGTCGGGTACAGCTTCAGACTAGAAGTACCCAAGTAACATTGATATTAATAATAGATGTGTGCTACTTTCTTAATGCACGAAAACATTACACCAGAGAAAGCATGTCTCTTGTTCTTTTCTCTAGTCTAATTGAAAAATGGACGATGAATAATAATTCAGATCATGTTTGGTTTTCTGAAATGAAGCTTGCAACTAGGATGCAAAGATGTCCCAAATGGAAATAAACATTACATTTATAATATGCTGCAGTGGGAGAAATGATAACATGAAAGATTCTCATTCATGTGCATATTAGACATCTGATATTTTGTAAAACTAAGAAATTGAGAGGCTTAGCCATTGGAAACAGAAATGACCTGATAGTGTCGAATATCAAGATACATGTAGTTAACCAAAAGATTGTTTTCTCCTAATAGCCTAGTAAATCAGATGAAAGAGCAGATCTGCCATTTGCAAATCATACAAGGCAATGGATCCATGGTAAATTCATGCATAAACAGCACATTAAGAGGAAAATATCATGACCAACAATGGAAAGCAAATATCTATAAATCCAAAGATACTTCGGACAAAATAGGTTTTCCAGGATTGTAGTATCCAATTTAGTCATGATCGTCCAACTTCTAAAGCACAAAATAAAGTCTGCTTTTAGTTTTACGGTTTTACCTCAACAATGAATGCCCATCAGTAGAGCAAATATTTTAGTTTATAATTAAAGCTAATTAATAGGATTACCAAATCAGATATAATCAAAACAGAAATAGCAAAAGAATAACGCACAATTACGATTAAATGGCCTTCTCACAGGGTGAAGACCATCCTAATGCATTGCCCGTAGTTACTCAAGATTGCTGAAGTAAAGAGTTTCCCATCTCTTTGAGTAAAGTTGTTATGTAACCTGGTACTGTAAATAAAACTTATGGCTTCAATGGTAAAATAACAAGAATCATTCATTCCCCACCTATTAATGACAGCATCCACGATCACTTGAATGGGGTTAAGGTCAGTAAGGAGATGAATTAGCTCCATTGCATGCTTGACAATGCGAACTGCCTTCAGCTTCTTGCCATTGTTGCGACCGTGCATCATCAGAGAGTTAGTCAATCTCTCTACAATAGGGCATTGGGCCTTCCGGAACCTCTTCACAGAATACCGTCCAGCAGTATGTGGTAGATATGTGGCGTGCTTCTCAGCCCTGACAGCAATATAATCTACCAAAGACATGTCACTCACCTATAACAAAATTTAAAGTTCATCAAAAACTTCGCCAATGATTTATCGACGGTTCTATCATAATCTGCCAGTGACAAGTCGCAAATAATGATACCTAACAAGACATATCTGCAAAAAATAGTAAGTAACAAATACCAAATAATAAATTGTTGATACTAACTAGTAACTCCTAACATAGATAACTAAGCGAAAAAATTTGAACTTCAAGGTACAGATTGTAGCATTTTCTCAAAATGATGGAGACAATTAGGTACGTTACAAAAGGAAAGGAAAAAAATCAAAAACAAAAACAAACTTCAGTTTGCAGACAACTCTCACGCTTTCAAATTTTCATTTTTAAAAAAAATGAAAAAAAAGGAAGACGCTGTATGCACCTTGTCGCACAGGCCTTATGCCTGAGGCACCAAGACGTGCTCGCCTTAGTAACCTTCATCGCATGGCGATCTGCGAGCTGCTAATGTACAAATCCGCCAATATAAGGTGTGATGCTTTTCAACAATTGTTGTGCAACCATATTTTTTAGTAAAGTTCGCTACATAAAAAATCGCCTAAATAGACTTCTGCTTAACTACCTAAATAACTGGTAACTTAATTAATCCAGCTCGAGACACTTGTAATTTAGATTACCGCTACGGCGTGATGCTTTTAACACATTGTCCTGGTACCATATTTTTTAGTAAAGTTCGCTACATAAAAAATTGCCTAAATAGCCTCTGCTTAACTACCGAAATCACTAGCAACTTAATTAATCTAGCTCGAGACACTTGTAACTTAGATTACCGCTTGATGAGATCATTAAATAAAGGCAAAGCACTTTGTATAACTGCAAACAACTTCTCTAAACTCATTCGAACCAAAATGAAGAAAAAAAGGCACTCAATATAACACAAACTTAACAACCATTGCATCAACTTACAAAGGGGAAAAAGCAATAACTCAATTATCTTGTACATAATACTATATATCTTGAAAAACTGCTTTCGAGCAATAAATAGTTAGGAATTATAAAGATATGATATAAAGTTCAGATGCACCTCAGTTTTGTTCCAAGAAGTAAAAAAATTTGCATTCATCCTGGAGTCAACATCATACTAATATAATATAAAAAATCAACATGGTACTATTCAATGAAAACAAGTACTAACCATTTACATGGGACTGAATTTTAGCTAATGTCATTAGATCTAGGAGTTAAGGCAATCACATCACTAGATTTAGAAAGTTATAAAACAAACTGTTAACTTTTAAGATGCTTATAATTACACAGCACACTCAAAGAGCAAAACAATTTACCACCAGAACCATTCACTAGTAACCTAGGTCACCCGGACACTTCTAGGCTCCTGTATCCATGTGCATATCCGTGTTTGTGTCTGTCTCCAACACTCCTTGGACACTTCTTCAATATAAACACACATTTTCAGATTTATACTCAATTATATTAGACATGCTTTCATTCAAAATACTTGTGATACACTTCTTGAATGTATATCATACGCTTCATCTCAAATTATGCAACTCATTGGACTCGGAATAGGTTTGTTTTAGCACATACCTAGTTCATAAGTATGATTTTAAAGGGTCGTTTGAGTATCTAGTTAAAAAATAAATAGCTCCTCAATTTATAATCTACTTGGTAAAAGAAACATAAAATGGTATAAGGACTTTAGTTCTCATAACATGTGAATGAAAAACGATATCGGTCTCATGTAGATTATTAATTTTAATATGTATGTATATAGTCGCATTCCCGTATCCTAACATTTACAGCTTTGTCATGTCCCGTATCCGCACCCGCGTCTCATGTAGATTATAATCTACTTGGTAGAAGAAACATAAAATGGTATAAGGCTTTTAGTTCTAAGAACATGTGAATGAAAAACAATATCGGTCTCATGTAGATTATTAATTTTAATATGTATGTATGTAGTTGTGTCCTCGTATCCTAACTTTTACAACTTTGTCGTGCCCACACCCATGTCCATGTCTGCACCGCTCCCTCATCCGTGCAACATAGCCAGTAACTCTCAGCTTCCCTACAACTTTTATTATCACAAATTTGATTAAGTGTTCAGAGTGGCTTCCTGGTGCACTCCAGCACCTTAGCCTTCCATGATTGGAAACAAATAATCTAACAACACAACATTCACAGAGCTTACAAGCTAAAGAACCCAAAGAACTAGATTAAAACCCAAAAGAGTACCCCTAACAGTCATCAAGTTATTACAAAGGAAAGATAAATCTGAGCTACTATATAGAGAAAGCAACTAGACCTATACTACTGGATCATATTAACAAAAAACTACCTATCACAACCTTACCAACAGAAGATAGGTAACAAATGAATCATACCCATAAATGCAGTAGAGGAAATAACTAAGAGTAAAATAGATTTAGTGGCTATACGTTTTCTCTCATGATTAAATCATAACACCCTTCAACTAAATTAGGGCTTATATAGAAGTGTGATGCAAGGTGGGTTGCGTACAGAAGAATTGGATCATGTTTGGGCTTTTGGACTCGCATCAAATACTTCACCCATCAAAACTGACCTGGCTTCAGAGTTGAATGAGGTGTGGGACGTCAACAAATGCAACAGGAGCTTGCAAGGTGGTGATTGATGAGGGTAGATGGCAACATAGTGAGGCATTGAATCAGCTCTTATACCAATAATGCTCTCCGATTATTGCGCTTAAATTTCACTGTTGATGAAAACAATAGCTCCTCTTTTCATATACCCCTCCTGGTTCTCTCTCCTGGGTTAGATGAAGTCACAGGCAAGATCCATGCAAAGGTGTCAGAGGGAGTCAATGGCATAAGAGCAAAATCATTGCCTCGCAGATGGTCACCATGTCGTCCACCCCCTTACCGACTGGTCTTCACCAAATTCGACACTCTTGTTAACCTTGAGGTGATGCAGATTTTGAAGAGTGGGATACTAGATACAAAACCCCATTAGTCCATGTTCGACCCACTCCATCCATGATATACACATTTTAGATCTCACTTTCGTATAAGCCTCATTTCATAATGAGAGAAAACATATAGCCACCAATTCGTTTGCTCTCTTTGTTATTTTCTCCAGTTTTAATCCGAAATAGGACAACATTCATCTCTTATCTATCATCTGTCAGTGAACTTGAAATGGGTAGTTTTTTTATTAAAATGACGAAATAATGTACATATAAATGCTTGCATCATCCAGTGATTCTGGGTTCTCTGATAGCACTAGAAAACAACTAGGAAAACTCACCCTTAAAAGTTAGCTATCATAGGGATAATAGACTTCTCATTTAGTCAATGTAGAACTAAATGCACCACAACACACCACCACGCTTTTGTAGTGCTACCACCCCACCCCACCCCCCAAAAAAAGAGAAAAAGGGAGCAGGCTTGCTTAGCACTAGTACAGTCCAAGTCAGAAATTGAAATTCTGATGTCACCCTCTTGGCTATGCACTAGGCTATTTTCAAACGAACACTACAACGTCGGCATCACGATCAACACAGCTCACTTGTAACCGGGAAGCTGGGTTGGCTTCATTAATGTCCTCCGGCAACTTACCTTCCATGATTGCAAAAAACAAGCCCGAAAAAAGCAAGATTCACAAAAACTAACAAGATAAATCTACTCATGACAAGACTCCACAGAACCAAGAAGCAGAACAGAACCCTCACAAAATACCCATTACAGTCATCAACCAAGCTAATAAAAACGAAAAAAGAAACAGCGAAAGAAACTACATAAAACTGCAGCCCAAAAAAATAATTGGTAAGTACATGTAAACAGGATACCATTAAAACAAAACTAATAGCTACAACTAACTACAAAGCGCAACTATTGGTAAATTTTACAGTAAAATTACAGTTATTCGCACGCTTTCACTAACGATAACTATAGATCAATCAAAAAGAGAGAACTTTTAATATAAAAGAGAGAGGAAAAGGGTTTTGGTTAACGAACATTGACATCGTCGAAGGTCCAGCGGTTGAAGAGCTTGACTTCAATCGCCGCAGTCTCAGTC